CTTCGATGCCTGGTGGTCATACAGGCTAGTGTGCTTCTTCCATGTGGGCTTTGTTGCTTCTGTGCTAGATGGCTGCTTGTTTACCTTCAAGTCTTTAAGACCCCAGATCCTATATCTTTTGATAGCCGGGCACCATCAGCTTTCTTCACTTATATTAAATTGGCATTCCATGATGCTCACCATCCCAACCTGATCGCTGAAGACAAATGTATGCATAAGCGAATGTGGTGATCCATAGGTTTTCAATGCTGATTTTTCAAAAGCAGACTACCACACCTTTCTTCTGATGCCATGATATTTTCATTATACCTCTACTGTATTTTTCTCTACACCATGATGATAAGATATTAATTTTGTATTGAAAGAGTCATCTTTAACATAAACAAGATGTGGCATATATTCAGATCCAATCAGAAAAAAACAACCTTTCCTCAGCACTTTTAATCCCATTGCCTCTATATGAGAGTATATATGAGAGTCCTATATGAGAGTAACAACTATTCAGTATCTTTCTGCATCCATAACCAGGTTACATATCAGTGTTCTCCAGCAGAAGTCTTACACCTGTATTCTAAAAAATACCTTCCTAAATTTCAAATAAAATTTGTACCCATAGATCGTGTTATGGACATGATTGTGATATTCAGTATTCTTAGAATAATTTGATGAAGAAAATATATTGTAATACATCAGGATGATCGCTAGATCACAAAGTTCATGTGTTCATTGTAAATTATGAGGCTGAAACCATTGCGTCACCGTCAAGGTTTGAAAATTAAGCATTTGAAATGGGAAGATTGCCAAATTGTGTAATTATAGTACAGAAGTATAAAGATTGTGACTATGTAGACAAGGGGATTAATCAGTGTGATTTTAAGAAGTAGCAAGTGCTTCTCTTCATAATTTGGTCATGTGCTCACATTTCCATGGCAAAAGACCAAATGCATTTAATGCAATTCAAAAATGACAAGAAGATTAATGACCTCTAATGAGCAATTGATTAGCAATAAACAAAGGCATATTAAAAATCTAATTTAAACACTATTCAGAAAAAGAGGGCCATCTTTCTATGCTGTAGTTCTCCATTCAAGCAGATCAATGGAATGAGGAGAAGGGCAGATTTAAAGGCTTAGTTTCTTAGGGTTGGAAGAGCAAAAGTAACTAGCTTTAAGCAATAGAAATTTGTTGTCTCATAGTCTAAGTGCACCAAATCAGGGCTTCAGCTGTGTTGATTCTGGCTGAAAGCGAAGCTGTTCTCTCTTAGCTTCTGTTCGAGCTCGGCCTTCCTGGCTTGCAGCTGCAGTGTCAGATGGTGTCTTTCCTTTGTATCCTTGTCTTTGTGTATTTTTCATCCGTTATGAGGTCAATAGTCACAGAGCATTAATATTCACCTTTCTCCAGTATGAGCTCATGTTAATGTGACTGATAGCCTCTTCACAGATCTTATTTTCAAATAAAGTCACGGTCACAAAAATACACAAATCAAACTCACTACCATAGAATTGATTCCAACTCATAGCAACCCTTTAGGACTGAGTAGAACAGTCCCTGTGGGTTTCTGAGATGGCAAATCTTTACAGGAGTAGATTAAATCCCGTGGATTAAAGCTTCCATATATCTGTTTGGGAGACACATTAAATCCATAAGAATAATTCTTAGATTTTATTATTTTAAATGATGAACATTAAGTTGTGAAGATAAACATGTGTGTGTATAGATAGATAGATTGATAGATAGATAGATAGTCATCAAATCAACAACAATCCTATACAACAAGGGAGAACTGCCCCATGTGAGTTTCCAAGACTGTAATGGGGAACAGGTGTAGAAAGCCCCACCTTTCTCCCACCGAGAAGCTGGTGGTTTTGTATAGTGGATCTTGCAGACCACATCCCAATGTGTAATCATGACACCACCATATATAATTATCTATAGTATCAAGCAACTCCCTTAAACCATGCTTTGAGTTCTTGGTTTAAGAGCTACTAAAACGATTGGGCAAGATAAAGTATTAAGTAATGTATTGTACTATATTATTATCTCAAAGACTAATTATTAGGTGAAATGGTGTTACAATTGAATTTTTTGAAACTTCTCATTTGTTTTCGGTACTCATGTGGTGTAGTGGGTTATACGTTGGGCTACCATCCAGAAGGTCAGTGGTTCAAACTCACTAGCTCCTCTGAAAGAGAAATATGAGGCTTTCTGCACCAGTAAAATGTATAGCTTCAGAAACCCATAGAGTCAGTTCTGCATTTTCTTATAAGGTCACTGTGAGTCAGTAATGACTTGATGGCAGTAAAAGAATTTGTTCTTAATGGCTACAATTTGTGTTTGTGGATGTCATGCCCATAAGATGACACATAAGAAACTTGGGGAAGCTATTGTTGGTAGTGACTTGATGGAAGCTATTTTACTGATGATAATTTAGTGGTCACACTGCCATTCATAACAGTTGTAACCTTATATGGAACAAATTAAAGGCCAGGGAATGCACAGAGAAAAGGATATAGTGACACCACTGCCATTGAGCATATTCCCATGATAATGACCTCATAGGACAGAGTGGAACTGCACCTAGGCGTTTTTTGCAAGAACAGACAGCTGGTGGGTTTGAGAACGCAATCTTGTGGTTAGCAGTTTACTGCATAACTCTCTGAACCTCATGGGCTCTTTGAAGGGATGAGTATAGGGTACATATTTTAAATATTCGTTACCTGGGTTGGATTTCTATGTAGCCAACCAGGAAAGATTAGATGATTTTGCTAGCACTGAGCACATGGTTTTGACTGTGAAGTAATAATTTCTTGCCTGGGCATCTGGTAAAGTATTGCTCAATATGCACAACGAAACAGTCTGCTCTTGTAAAGACTGGCAGTCTCAGAAACTCACAGGAATAGTTCCATTCTGTCCTGTACAGTTACCAGGAGTTGGGATCAACTGGATGTCAATGAGAAAGGTGAACATGTGAGGCTTGCCTTGCATCTGATTGTTTGTCACAATTCAGCCCAGTTAAAGAATTGCCTACGGTTGTTACAGTTAGGGTGTACCAAGCTGGTTCTGATTCATAGCGACCTGAAGCATAACATAGCCCAATATTGTCTTATCCATCACCATTTTAAAAAGTTTTACTATGTTTGAGCCCAGTGTTGATGTCAGTGTGCAAATCAATCTCATTGAGCATCTTTCTTTCTTTCAATGACCCACTACTGTTCCAATCACGGTGTCCTTCTCCAAAGTCTGAACTTTGCCTGTGTGCAATTACTGCCTTTTTTGATCTTGTGTGGCTGAATGTTGTAAATAATATCTGCACATTTTGATGATCATTGGTGTGCTAGATTTCACGGTCTCCATCATTGTGCATTTTGAGTGCCTTCCAACCTAGAAGTCTGATATCTTTCAGCACTCTAATTGGCAATGTTTCTTTTTTGTCCAAGCAGTTTTCATTGGCTAATGTTGGAAGATTTTTACCAGGTCTTTATTCTTAGTTTGGATTTATCTGGAAGCTCTGCTGAAACCTGCCCACCATGGGAGATCCTGGTGGTATTTTAAATACTAGCGGCATAGCTTCCAGCATCATGACAACACATAAGCTACTACAGTGCCATACATTGACCGACGAATACAGAGAATATCAGTACCCACACAAGCTCAAACAGAACCCACAGCCTTAATGGTCAATTCGAATTGATAGCAACCTCATCGTGGATGCCATGGAACTGCTGCCTAGTTTCCCGAGACTGTCAGTCTTTACAGGAGCAGATTGCTTCCTCTCTCTCGGGCGAAGCAGCTGGTCAATATGAATTGCTGACCTTGTAGTTAGCAGCCCGACACATAATCCATGAGGCCAACATGCCACAAAGGCTCCTTATAAAGATGCACTCAAAAAACTCAATTGTGACTCATCGTGACCCTGTAGGAAAAGGCAGGGCTGTCGCTAGGAGACTGTCACTCATTCTGGGAGTAGAAAGCCTCCTCCTTCTCAGAGTAGCTTGTGGGTTCGAACTGGTGACTTTTCCACTAACACCCTAACACACAACACACTCTGACAGTTCTATAAATACACACAGTGGTAATTGAAACTGTAGTATAGCCCAAAATGCCAAATGTCCACTAATGTTAAAATAGCGTTTAAAGTATATCGTTTGCAATTCCATCATAACAAAAATATGACTTATATTTTCTCTTTTTGCTTCATATCTTAAAAATCATGTTTGCATTCCTTTAATCTACACTGCAGATTCCATATCAATCATTTTTAACCATTATGATGTCATTTGACAATCCATAGGAGCTTTGAAACGTTGCATTAGAAAAAGGTGTGTGCTTACCAAACAAACAGTACGTTACATATATTGCAAAAATTTTTCAAAAGCCACAGAAAGATCAGTTGGACAACACTGCTATAAATGATATGACCAAGAGTGCACACATTTCTGAAGCTACAACTCATGTAGGCTCTTTAAAAGAATCTTTTGACATTACTACTTAATTTGTATATTAGAAGATTTTTCAAGGAATTATGTTTGTACATTAACATTTAGTCTCCAATCAAAATTACTGATGAATTTGTATTCTGCCACAAATATGTGATTTCAGTTTGGCCCTGTGATGGAAAATCACTTATTAGGCCAGGCTTCTGATAAATTTAGCATGAATTTAGGTCATAATATTAGGCATTTCCTAAGCAGGACCATATGTGAGAGTGATGTATGACACATGTGTCTGCATGTATGCATTAGAGCTTTGTTAAGGCTGCCACTGATAGTGCAGTGGCCAAACTGCAATCTGAAGGTGTCTTTTTCAAGGTAATGAAGTTCCATCATCCTTCTGTGCTTTCCGAGTAGCTTTGAATTTGTCTTTAGGCCATTTCCAGAGATGAACAGGTGATGCCATAAACATGTATCAGTCTTGCCATTTGGGATGAAGAAGTGGCTGTGCTCAGTGGGTCCTTATGGATGTAAATTGATTTTAATGATTTCTTTCTCTCTCCTGGGCAGGATTTATGTGGGCATCATTCATGTGACACCCTGGGAATGGCAGACGTCGGGACCATATGTTCCCCGGAGCGCAGCTGTGCTGTGATTGAAGACGACGGCCTCCATGCAGCTTTCACTGTGGCTCACGAAATTGGTATGCAGCCCTTTTCTCTCCCTCGCCAAATCAAACACGGATAACAGCTGCAGCAGGAACCCAAACACTTGGCAATTAATTCCAGATTTCTCCGGTGCACATGTACCATCGGGGATTAGATGTGTTTATATTTGCACTAATAATGGAGAGGGAAGGCAGAGGCCAGCACCCAGTCCATGTTCCCTTCCTGATAGTGTCATTTAGAAGTGTAAGAGAGCGTCCCTACTGCCACTGCCTTTTCCCTGTCTTTTTAAAGCCTCCCTAAACGACTCTGAGATGAAATTTGTCTCAGCTGCCTATAGAATGCAGAGGCATCCGTTTTAAGTTATTCAAGATGGTTCTGACTCATCCAGGCCAATCTATTTACACATAAATTTAACATCTTTCTATTTTCCTGAGTGGTAATAGTCGTTTCTTGTCAAAGGTCATCAATATATAATATCCCTGCCTTATTCTCAATAACAAAGTAAACGAAGTTATCCTCAACTCTCAACATGGTCTATTTAAAATATCACTTTTCCAATTTGCTTTTTATAACAGACATCTAAATTAAAAAAAAAAAAACAACCTGTGAATTTAAGACTGAGATAATAGATGAAAAAATACCCCTGTAATTAGGACTATGTGTTTCCTAACCATTGGAATAAGCTCCTACATTAAGTGTTTGAGTTCAGAAGTATGTACTCTTTAGGATTACATGTTAGAATTAGATACACCTGCGCTCAATTCATGCTCAGACATTCCCAATGTGTGTCACATTGGTCTAATTACTTAAAATCTCTAAGCTTCATTTTTCACATTTAAAATCTAAGAGTAACAGTATTTATTTCATGGACTTACTATTCAGATCAAATTGAGTACAGTATAGGTGATGTTATTTATATCCTTGTATATTTCTATTTTTTTAAACAAATACATTTATATTTTTAATTTGCATATCACCTTGTAGCATAACCTTTCGAGGTACAAAAATGGGTTATTAATATTTTTGTAATTTTTTGCCATATTTTTATTAGGCATGTTCCTGTTTTTTGTTGTTGTTTTTTGATAAAACCATAATTTTTAAAGGAAATTAAAGCCACTTTTTGACATTCCCAGTAGGCAGGGAACATTTTAACAATGAATTGATTTCTAACTGCTATGTTTTTTAGAGGGGGAGTAAAAATAAATCCTAATCAAAGGTGTAATAACTTAAGTCATTAGAGTGTAGCAGTAAAATAGGAATCAGTAGTAAGGTTTCCATTCTTAAGTATTACTCATGATCTTAATTTTCCAAACTGACATCCTTCTTACCATTTAAGGATTATAAACAAATACATAAAACCTTAACATAAATAACTATCCATCCACATCACTGGTAATAGTTCAATTCAACAAGCTCTGAGTTGGCATGCCCAGCTCCACAGCTAGGCTGTTTGCTTTATCTCAGGCAAATGATTCAGATGTTTGCATTTCTGATTCTCCCTCTTTGATGGACAAATAACAAAGCATGGCTTGTATATGATACACTAGAAAAGATGGTGTGTCTGAAAATGTTTTTCAGATGCCCAAACTCTTTGATCGGATCTTGTGGTATGATCGGATCTGCTGAAGGGATGTGCCCTCACTTGTTTCTCAGCGGTACTTATTTAACGGAATGGAACTCTTCTGTAAATCCCTAGGCAAAGCCACCAGCTGCTGCAGGTTGATTCTGACTTCTGTCGCCCCACTGTGTTTCAGCAGAGAACTCTGTGGGGTTCTGAATCACTGATCTTTCTGAAGTCCATCCCCAGCCTTTTCTTCCCGGTGCCTCTGTGTGATTTCGAAATGCCAACCATTTGGTCAGTAGCCAAGCCATTAACCATTTGCACCACTTCCATCGAGGCATTGCCCACACAGAGACTCCTCATACAGACCCGCAATCCACGTTCATTACATGAATACATAGATGAGTGGATAAGAGAAAGAAAAAGTTCAAGAATAGCCCAAGGCACCAATTGAATTCTGCAGTGCAAATGGTGAGATATTAGTCCAAGCACTCAACTGGTTTATAATTAAACCAAGATTTCCAAAGTACAACAGTAGTTCACAATCATTATTCAGAGACAATTGAGAAATGACTTCAGCAGCATATCGAAAAGAAACTACCAGAGAGTCCAACTAAATGCAGAAGAGGACATAGAGTGAAGGATATCATTGGTGATGTCAGATGGATCTTTCCCAACAGCAGAAAAGGTCAGGAAAATGTTTTCCTCTGTTTTATTGACTGTGCAAAGGCCGTTGACCCTGTGGATCATAACAAACTATGGATAAAATCACAAAGAATGGGTATTCCAGAAAACATCATTGTTAGCATGCAGAATCTCTGCATAGACCAAGTCATTTGAACAGAATCAGGGGAGATTGCATGCTTAAAAGCAGGAAAGGTGCTTGTTTGGCTGTATTTTTCACATAGTTATTCAATCTATGTACAGAGCAGATAATCTGAGAAGCTGGATTATATGAAGAAAGCATAAGATCGGGGTTGGAGGAAGATGCTAAGTGCCTTGAAGCACTTGTGGATGAAGACGAGTCGATAGCCTTCAGAATGGATTGCATCTGAACATGGAGAAAGCAAAATGCTCTTAGCTAGATCAATAAGCAGTGCCAGAATAAACAGAGAAAAGATGGATGTTGGCAAGGATTTCATTTCACATGGATCTAGAAGCACCACTCAGGGAAGCATCAGTCAAGAAATCAAATTACGTACTATATTGGGAACATCTGCTGCAAACAAACTTCTTTATAGTGCTGAAATGTGAAAGTTTCACTTTCAAGACTAAGGTGAACCTGAGCTAGCCATGGCGAATATGCAGGTGGAAGGTGAATTTGTACATAGCAAAGAATGTTGTCTATAGCATGAACTACCAGAAGAACGAACAGATATGTATTGGAAGAAGTACATACTGAATGCTCCTAAAATTGGCCAGAAAGACTTCGTCTCACATTTATCAGGAGGGCCTAGGTGGCTGGTAAAGGAAAGGGTCAGGGAAAAGAGGAACCCTGGAACAAGATGGATCAAAGTCTGCATCAGTGGACTCCCATGAGGATGGTGCAGCACGAGACCACGGTTTGTTCTGTTGTATTTAGGGGCTCTATGACTTGGATTGGTATCATGACTGCAAACATGGATTCTAACATGATAACAGTTGTGAGGATAGCGCAGGACTGGGAAGTTTTTCCTTCTGTTGTACACAGGACCACCAGGAATCAGAACTGACGCAACAGTACCTAACTGGCATATCCCGGTTTTAGCAGGAGAGAGTTTAGATTCCTCGAAAGCAAGGCCGTTTTTTTCCTTCTTTGGCATCATATTTTGTTTTCACACATTGACAGCAATTTGCCTGTTAGAGAGTCCCTCCAGATAAAAATGCTGCTGCTTTGAGTTACACTGCCACCGAAGCCAGCTCAACTGTAGTTGAGAGTGCTCCGGATTGTCCTTTCTCTGGGCCCCCGCATTTCTAAACCAAAGGTCTTGAGCTCCTTACTTACTTGGGCAGACACAGCAGACTGATTGGTAAGAAGGTTCCATTTCGTGCATGCATGGGTTTATTCTAAACAAAAATATGTAAACCTGTCTCTAATCAGAGGGTAGCTGCAGAGAATTTCTCTCAGTAGTGTACATGTCTTAGTCTTGCCAGGATGCCTTAAAATCAAGAACAATCAAACATATAATCAAAATAGTGTGCTCCAGGGCTCTGTTGGGCTGATGAAATTCAAGGCAAAGAAGTCAGCTCAGAAATGTATGCCTTTTGTGGTGATTTCTTTTTATTTGCTTGTTTTTATTCTCAAGTGGTAATCTAAATAGATTTTCTCAAAGGACACAGGATGATCAAGGGAGCTTATAATGAAAATTTAAGTTGAAAATTGCACTGGTGGGCAAAGAGGGCAGAAAAGCTGTACTGGAGACACTTCTTTGTACCACAACAGTGCAACTGAGCATTCCATCGGAAAGACTTATCCATGCATCCTAATCCCTGAACTCTCTCTGCTGAGTGCCTGGTAAATCGGAATGGCCAACCATCAGGCTAGTAGACCAGTACTTAAGCAATTGTACATAAGACCAGTACTTAAACAATTGTAAATAAGACTAAGGGTCTTATGTACAGGACTCCTGAGTGCTTCCACAAGACAAACTTGCTCTTTCTTCTGGCACTGCTGGTATAGTCAATAGTCTTTTCCAACCCCATTACTCAGACATCTATTCTTCTTCGTTTTTCCTTATTTATTCTCTAGCTTTCCCATGCATATTCGGACACTAAAATTACTATGGCCTACCTAAAGGAAACCCTAGTCCTAAGTATATCTTCACTCTTCAATACTTTCAAGTCTTTTGGCTTATATGTCCTTTAATTTCTTGACTGCTGCTTCAATGAGCATAGGTGGTGAATCCAAGTAAAATGAAACCCTTCACAACGTCAAGTTTTTCACAGTTTATCATAATATTGTTTACTGGTCTAGTTGGGCGGGTCTTTGTATTCTTTGTGGTGAGGCGAAGCATATCCTGAAGGATGTAGCTGTTGGTCGTCATCAGTAAGTGCTCATGACAACCTGGGAGATACAGATGAGACAACCTTGCTTGCTGAAAGCAAAGAGGTTCGAACTACGCACGGTTGCAACAAACATCTCTTTGTCTATGTGTAGATTCTGCAAGAGCCCAATGAACAATGCTGAGATTCTCATTCTTGGTAATGTTTTCCATGATTTTCTATGATCCACACTGTCAAATGTATTTGCAAGGTGAAAAAAAACACAGATAAACATCTTGCTGATGTTCTCTGCTTTCAGTCACGATCCATATGACATCAGCAATGATAGCACTCCAAGGCCTCTTGGGAATCTGGCTTAGATTTCTAGCAAATCTATCGATGGATTGTTGCAAGCATCTGGAATGGTCTTCAACACAATTTTACTTGCATGTGATATTAATGAACTTTTTTGATAATTTCTATCTTCAGTTCGGCTACCATTCTTTAGAAAGG